ACCCCCCACCCCCACCCCTGGGAGAGCCTCTCCAACCATCCTCCCTTCCCCAGTGAGCTCCTGACCCAAGTCCAACCCAGGGTGAGGCAACACAGGGGGCAGGAGCCCCCACTGACTCAGTCCACACTCCAGGGGCCAGGGGTACATCGGGAAGATCAGATATGGCCACTGAGAGCAGAAAAGGGGTGACAAGGGGAGGGGGACGAACCCTGGGGCAGGGGGAGGTGCATCGGTGGAGAAGACAATACCACGTCAGCCATAATACAAGAACAGTCCAGGGTAGGAGAAGGCTTGTCCCCAGAGCTCTAACAGCCGAAGCAGAGCCCCTGGGGACTGGAGCTCCCACAGCGGAGCCTGAAGACAGGCAACCGTCTGGAAGCAGGACAAGTGGCTGGGTGGCTACGCCCCTCACCCGGCCCATCCCCACCCCCACCAAGGGCACCACAACTCCCGCACCAGCAAAGCAGAGCAGTTCCTCAACCCCAGCTCTAGCTCGGTCCCACCAGGGTGGCAATCACGATTGCACAGGGAGAGAGGTTAAAAACGAGAGCATGTAAGGAGAGGCCAAGCGCCCAGACTCTTCAGGGAGGGGGGAACAGTGAGCGCTGAAGGCCCCCCCAGCTGAACAACGGCGAGGGTGTGGTCTGTACTCACCTGCACGACTTCTATCCCTCGCTTCCTGTGGAGAAAAACAAAGAAAACACAGGTTACTCCAGCAGGCAGGAAGCATCCTTCTAGAAACTTCACTAGGGCCAGCTGGAGGCAGAGCAGCGAGGAGACTGCAGCTGCACCTCTCAGGCCATGGTCCCCAGAATGGCCTTGTTTTCAAGGGGGAGGTTTAAGAACTCCTAGCCAGCCCTCAAAGCCACCTTGCGGCTGAAAGAGAGGGCTGGGTGCCCAAAGGAAGCTGGCTGGAGGCCGCTCACGGCCAGCCGTCCCGCACACCAATCCCGGGGCCAAGGTTTCGGGGGCACAGCTCCAGCCTGGAGCACCCCAAGACCCTCCCACCACCGATGGCCTTAACCCAACACCCGAACCCCACTCCCTCCCGGGTCAGGTCGGACACCTTGGCCCAGTCCCTCAGGCCGGCCTCAGCCCATCCCACCGCAGCCCATCCACATTCCCACGTGCAAGAGGCCCCAGGCCCTTCAGTCCTGCCCGGCTGCTTGTCCACTGCTGGCCATCTCTGCCCCACTGACACCCTGCCCGCCCTCTGAGCCTGGTTCAACCACCACAGTCCTCACCAATATCCTTCCAGGCCTGGACCTTGCCTTCCCCGTGTCTCCCCACACAATCCCAGGGCCGCCATGCTCCCACACGCATGCCCTCACTCACCCCACCCCGTGGAGCCTGGGCTGGGGTCCGTGTCTCCAGAGGAGCACACAAAGGCTCCCTGCCGACTCCCCCACCAACAGCCCTTACGGCAAGCGGTTCA